CCCCTCATCAACAAGGGTACCTGCACAATGAATATTTGTATACCTAACCCTTAACTGTACCCCACAACATTATAATAAAAAATATATATTTAAAAAAAAAAGAAAGTTCTGACTCCCCAACACCTACAAAGATCCCACGGGAAAGAACTACGGCAAAGCATGGAAGTAACTTCCACTCCAAGGCGCTCCAGGCTCCGTTCACAGCCAAGGGGAGCGGGAAACACAGGCAGGGCAGTTAACGTGGGTGCTGTGGCGGGGGCAGCGGACAGTCTGGTCCCTCTCTTCATACTCTGCTTGTGGCAAAGAACAGACAACAGTAGTGCCTGGGCCAGCCCAAGACCCCACTGCCCCGGCAGCTACTGGAATGCTGGGGAGAGTCTCTTTCCCCGGAAACCCGGCGATGCGTGAGTGAATTGCCTAGCAGCAAGCCCTTGGCCTTCTGCCAAGGATCTCTGGAGAAAGGCTGCAACAGACCATCCTTCTCCTCTCCTCACGCCTTTGAAAAGCGTACAGCCGTCTGTCTCCCCATCTGCAGTTTCGCCTTCCATGGTTTCAATTCCCTGAGGTCAGCTGTGATCCAAAAATATTAGGTGGAAGATTCCAGAAATACACAACTCCCAAGTGCTACACTGCGTGCCATTCCGAGTAGGATGGTGCAGTCTCATGCAGCCCTGCACAATCCCACTCAGGATGGGATTCACCCCTCTGTCCCGCTCTCCACGCTGGACAGGCCACTTGTCCACTAGTCATTGACTCACCTTCTCCTTCACCATCTCAACCGTTGGAGTAACACCGTGCTTGTGCTCAAGTGACCTGTATTTACTTAATAATGGCCCCAGGGCAGGCGCAGGGGCTCAAGCCTGCAATCCCAGCACTTTGGGGGACCATGGCAAGAGGACTGCCTGAGCCCTGGGGTTCGCGACCATCTTGGGCAGCTTGGTGAGACCGTGTCTCTACAATAAATAAAGCAATTAGCCGGGCGTGGTGGCGCACGCCTGTAGTTCCAGCTACTTGGAAGGCTGAGGCGGAAGGATTGCCAAAGCCCAGCAGGTCAATGCTGGGGTGGCCATGAGTGTACCACTACACTCCAGCCTGGGCGACGGAGTGAGACGCTGACTCAAAAAGAACAAAAATAAAAATAATGGGCCCAAAGTGTAAGAGCAGTGATGCTCACATATGACAAACAGAAGCCATAAGTGCTTCCCTTAAGTGGAGAAAAGGGTATGCTGAGGTTGCGAAGACCTACGGTAAGAACAAATCTTCCATTTGTGAAATTATGAAGAAGGAAAAAGAAATCTGCGCTAATTTTGCTGCTGTACCTCAAACGGCAAAAGCTACAGCCACAGCATGTGGCGCATGTTCAGTGAAGGCGGAAAAGCACTAAATTTGTGGGTGGGAGACATGGACAGAACACGTCCCAGCCGGCGGCAGTTGAGTCTGGCGCTGAGGTCTCAGGTATTCCCTGGGGGCCTTGAAACATATTCCATGTGGATAAGGAGGCACCACCGTAGCTCTGACGACATTCTTCCAATTAACCCTCTGAATTTGCGCATGCCATCAGCTTTCTGCTGGACCTCGACCCGTTAAACTGACTCCATGACTCATTAATGATGAGTTCTAACTTGCTGTTTGTAAAACTCTATCATGTCATTTGCCTGTTGAAAAACAGTCAGTGACTTCTCACTGCTTCGTGAACTAAATATAATCTCCCTGGGCTAGCATTCAAAATTCTCCAAGCCCATAAGACTGACAGACAGTGGAAATGAAACCCAAATTTCAAACTGACTCCCAGAGCATCCATGGCAGAGAGCAGGCCCTCAAGGAAATACAAATAGTTTACGCCCAAAAATATTTCCTTGACATATTTCGAAATGGCCCTGCAAAGCTGTCTTTGGGGGAAATTGGCATCTGGAGAGAATCTCCTTCCCGCGGAAGAATCTGACACCTTTCAAGAGTGTGGCCACCTCTTCCCGCCGAAGTCTGCTCCTTGGATGCTTCACCTACACAGCGAGAACCTTGGCTTCCAGTAGCCCCATCTTTATGCATGAATTTCTTTTTTTTTCCATTTTTAATTTTAAAGGTGTGGGATATAATTCAGGATTAGGTATACAAGTGGTCATCGTACAGGTAAAGTTTGGGCCTCCCTGTGGTCCCTACTTTGCCGGGTTTGAGATCAGGCGCGCTTATTGATGTTATGTACCCCTATCCCCCAGCAGTTTCGGCTACTGCCAATCCCTAACTCATGCGTTTTTTTCTATTGGTTTCAAATTCTTTAGACAGAGGTTAAGTCTTTCAAGCAACTGCCAATCAGAAAATCTCTGAATCCACCTATGGCCTGTGAGCCTCCCCACCCCTTAGAGACGTCCCACCGCTGTGGGCCGAACCAGTGTAAACCTCACATTTTGATTTCTGTCCTTTTCTATAAACTTCAGTCTCCAGGCCAGGCTCAGCGGCTCGGCCTGTCATCCCAGCACTTCGGGAGGCCAAGGTGAGAGGACTGCCTGAGCCCGCGGGTTCGAGACCTGCCGGGCAACTTGGTGAGACCTCGTCTCTACAATAAATCAAAAACTAGCCGGGCGTGGTGGCGCGTGCCTGTAGTTCCGGCTACTTGGAAGGTCGAGGCGAAAGGATCGCCGGACCCCAGCAGGTCAAGGCTGCAGTAGCTGGGAGCGTGCCACTGCACTCCAGTCTGGGCAACAGAGTGAGACTCCAACTCAAAACAAAACAAAACAAAAAAACTTCAGTCTCCCTAAAATGTATAAAATCAAGCTGTAACCCAACCACCTTGGGCACATGTTCTTAGGACCTAGGAATATGTCCTGGGCCATGGTCACTCATATTTGGCTTAGAATAAACCTCTGTATGTATATAACAGAGTTTGGCTTCTCATCAACATGTGTTTCTCTTTAAAGACACTTTAAAAAATGTATGTTGTTGATTCATTAACATTGAAATCATGGCCAACAGCACTCTGTAACCAATGCCTGAATCAGGCTAGTCTAACACATCTTTTTCCATAAGGCACATTTTAGCCTTCTTGTGCATAGGAACACCAGATATGGACCAAAAAGGAAACATTATCAACAAGCAGAAAAATGAAAAAAAAAAAGTAGCACTAAGTAGACAGCAAAAAGATATTTGTTTGTAGGATGAGAGCTGAAACGAGAGGACAGAGCATCATCAGACAGCTAGGAATGTGTGGGGGGCGACTGTGCACGTCTAAGAAGGACTGAAGGTGCTGTGAATATTGACTCTGTGACTATAAATACATTTAGCAGGTAGGTAAACCCACAAATACGCAATCTGCCAATGAGGCCTGACTGTGTGTGTGTATGCGTGTGTATGTGTGCCAGAACACACGTGTGCATGTCTCCACGTCCTCACTGAAACGCCTGCTTTGCAGTCAGAAGATTCCCCTCTCTGACCTTCTGCCTCCTCACTCCCTCTTCTTCCTCGTTGCTTCTAGATCAACGTCCCATCTCCTGAATGGCACCGACAACTGCCTAGCCAAGCCTAAGACCTGGAGACCTTTGATTCGCCTCCCCCACTCCAAGTCCCTGTTTCAGTCCATCGTGAAGTCCTGCTAGTTCCACTTCCAATCTTCAGTTCCAAACACCCTTCACCACGTCTGGACCACGTCACCAACACTCCTTGCCCCGATTCCTGTAATAGCCACTCTCCAACTGTTTCACCTTTGGCATTTATATTGTATTACTATGGTGCTATTTCTTTTTTTTCATTATCCTTTTCCTTTGATGCCGTCTCCGTGGCGTCAGAGACACCTTCTGTCTGTTTTGCCACCGCCACTCCAGTGCCTAGGATGCCAAGCAGATTGTAGGAAATACTACAGGTATCCAGAAAGTCAAGCAATAGTAGAAGGGGATAATTACTCATTGAATAATGAGTGCACCTGATAAGGAAGACCCCAGGTCAAATCCTTCACTAGTTTAAACAATGACAGGCATCCAGCTTGGGAGAGAGTCTCCATGCAGTCTGTAGGAATTTCTAACAGGCACAACGGGTATCGATCAGTTAAAATTAGAATGATAATTTGTAGCCTTCACAATGTTAATGCAACCACGAATTAATAGAAGCTTTGGTTCCTAACAATATAAATCCAGCTTCCTGCTAAACCCAAAGGTAATCATTAACAGTGTAGTCATAGGCCTGATTTACTTGTGTTAAGCTAACACCTACTTTAGTGTTCACTGATTTTGTTTTCAGTGCTTCATAGTTTTTTACCATGGTAAGGAAGCTAACCTGCTCTTTCCCATGTACGCTGTGTAACTTGTTAAAAGGTTATTAAGCTCTGGAGAGCATTCCTTTGTCTCTAGTAACAAAGGCATGAAGCTCAGGGTGGTACAGAAATGTACAAGCAATGAACGTCAGAGCAATGGAAGGCAAACGTCATGGGGATGTTCTGAAATGTCATAACTTGACGTTAATCTATAGCAAACCTTAGCGCTTGTGCTTATAAACATGGACTATGAATCCAAGGAGCTGAGCTGGCCTTGGTGTCTACACTGGTTTGTCTCCCTGAATTCGGAATTCAGAAATAAACTTTCTTCCTAATTCCCTACCTTGACTCTCACTGACAGCGCATGAGAGCCCTCGTGTGTTCCCCGGACCTCCCGGGTCTCTTTGCTTTCTCAGCTTTCCTTCCCTTTGGCCTCAATTTAGCTCAACATGTAGCTCCTGGATGCCCATAATACTTGCCTTTCACTGTGATATGTGTTGGCATAGGCAGGAAGAAGCACAGCTGCCACTGAAAAATGAATCGAATATAATGCTAATACAATTGTCTTAACACAGCGAATGCATGTGTTAACTCACAGCTTTGAAAACAGTCCATCCCAATGCTCCCCAAACTGCTTTCTCAAAGCCTATTTCCTTGACTCCAAGGGTGCACATGGATAATCTTCAGAAAATACCAACACTAGCTGAGATCAACCCTTTGAGACACATCTGAGCACTTGCTTTCAAAACCAGGATGGGTACAAGTAGCTAGAGACGGCTCACTGCCATCCTGCTGCTACCTGGAAAGAGGGATAAGGGTCATTTAAAAATGTCCAAATCATGACGGCCACCAACAAAACTCAGGGGCCTGTCACCTTCTATTTCATCGATTCTCTGGCAATGCCTCCATTACTTCCACAATTTTCTACTTAAAATCTGTGTCCTTTATTACATCAAGCAACTACCTTTTTCTTGTTCTTACTTAAGATAAATGTACCGCCAAATCAAACATAATGGAAACTGCTTATAAACGGTGGAACCAGAAATACCCCTTTTTAAAGTTATTTTCCCTATCAGCAGGGTAACTCCAAGTCACTATGAGGTTAGCATGAGATAAGCTGACAGGTAATAAGAATAAATAATAAAATACAAAACCCTAGTAAAAGCAGTAACTTTGGTAAAATATAATTACTTGATGTTTTTCTTAAGGGCTTTTTCCAGTTTCTTCACCTGTTGTTTATAAAGTCTTAATTCATGCTGTGTGGGCCTGTAGAAAATAAATCATGTTGGATGAATTAAGTTTATTGAAAAAAACTAGAAAATTACTTAATAAACGATAGAGGATATCTTGTTACTTGTCGTCAATAAACATAAAAATTCTTCAAACATTTCACAACTGTTACTGAGTGTTTACTGGCCATTTAGATTTTTCATCTGTGTAATTCCTTATTCAAAATCTTTTGGGTTTTTCTGGTTACTAATCTATTACATGTTCTGTTTGTTTGTTTTTTGAGTTGGAGTCTCACTCTGTCGCCCAGGCTGGAGTACACTACGGCCACCCCAGCTTCAAACTGCTGGGCTCAGGTGATCCTTCCGCCTCAGCCTTCCAAGTAGTTGGAACTACAGGCATGCACCATCATGCCCGGCTAGTTTTTTGATTTATTGTAGAGATGAGGCCTCACCAAGTTGCCCAGGCTGATCCTGAACCTGTGGGCTCAGGCAGTCCCTTCGCCTTGACCTCCCAAAGTGCTGGGATGATAGGCTTGAGCCACTGCGCCTAGCCTATTACATGTTTTTACAGTGAAATATTTCAAAACTACAGACAAAAACAGAGAATACTGTAACAAATCCTGGTATATCCCAGCTTTATCAGATTTGAGTATTAACAGATTTGTTTCAAATCCAAAACATCATACACATACTTAAAGCCCACATGTCCCTCAGCAACGCCAGGCCCCTCCCTCATACCTGAGATAACCACTGTCCTGAGCTCATTGTTCACTGTTCCCATGTGTGTTTTTAAATGTTTGCTACAAACTTATTTAGCCATACATTTACATATTATTGTGTGGCAGGTTTTTAAACATTACATAAATGGTTTGTGCTGTATGTTATCAGACCACTCTCCATTAAAGAGTGAGCTTCATGAGAACACATTTATTTTGGTCTTTGTTTTATCCCAGGGCTTGGGACAACTGACCAACTTACAACAGATATTCAACAAGAACTCGCTGAATGAAAAAAAAGTCTCGACAGTGTTCACTCCTCATTCCTCACGTCGACATGTGGAGTGCCAGCCTTTGGTGGCTGTTCTGGACACAACTTGCTGTTGTGAGCCATTCTAAACTTTACCCTTCTTGTCCTGTCACCACACAAGTATAAGAAGAAATAACAAGACATTCCAAAATAATTTGGGAATGAGAAATCTGCTGGTGTAAGACTGAATTCAATATAGTAAATAGTAATGCACTGTACATTTCAAAATCACTAAAAGAGTACATTTCAAATTTTTTTAACCACAAAAAAAGTACCTGAGGTAATGGATATGCTAATCAGTTGGATTTAATTATTCCATACTATATTCACAAACCATAATATCACTTTGTGCCACATAAGTAAGCACACACATCTATAATTTGTCAATTTGCCACTGAAAAACAAAAACTTAAAATAATAATTATGGTCAATGAAAGCTGACAGAAAAAGAGCAAATACCGTTCGGCTGCATTTATAGAAAGTCTGGGGAACTGCATTACAAGCTCATGTACCGCGACAGCAAGCAGACCCGGGGCCGCTTGAGGCCCAGGAAAGGAGGAAGGAGGGGTTCCCGGGGCAAGGGAGAGCTTTGGGGACCATCAGCCGGCTGGGGCTCTCGGCTGAGCACAACTGTAGTTGTCTCACAGGGGCAGGCACATGTGCACCCGAAACGGAGGCGGTGTGTTGGAAACTCGCTATACCTGTGGCGGCGGAGCTTTAAAGCACCACAGAAGGGCTGCATCCGCATAAAGTTCTCGCCCGTCTGGCCTTCCCGGTGCGGCGCCTCCTCCCTTCCCTGCCTGCCCTCTTGCTTTCCTTCCTGCCCTCCTTCCCCACGAGACAGCCGACTCCCGTGAGCACGGGAGCGTAAGGCAGCCCGGACTAGTTCAGACTCACGAAGCTGGAATGGGCCGCCTAGCAGTCCAGAGTCCAGGATGTGTCTACTTTCAAAGGACAAAGGAAAATAAGACTTAAGTTTCTCTCACCTGGCTTCCAAATCTTTTTGAAGATTCAGCTTTTCACTTAAAAGTGCATCGATTTTAGATCTTGATTCCTTGAGTTGGTTTTGTAATGACTGCAACACATTTCAAAGAAAAATAAACTTTCCTAGATTACTTACTTTATAAAAAACGTATTTACTAGCTATGCAGTCCCCATACCATTAGAAGACCTTTATAATTTGGTGAGGCATCCACGTTTCTGTAGTCTTTTTCTTCCTCTGACTGACTTCCATCTTCTTTATATTGCCTATGAAAACATGCATGGAGTACACTTATGAAAAATCTACCTCCAAAGGAAAAAACCTAGCTCAAGAAAACGAAAGCAATCTCATGAGGGTTTCATAACCTAAGTGTCAACTTAAATTAATCCCCACTTCCTACTCGCCCTCACAGCCAGTAGCTCCAGAACACTCTACCTAACATTCCAGGACACAGCGTTGGCCCGTGTCATCTCGTCCCTCAGAAGGCAGCTCCCTGAGAACGAGAGCTTTGCCTTGTTCATCACGGTCTCTCACTGCCTGGAAGAGTACGAGACATCAAAGGAAGTGGAAAACACTCTTTGAATGAAGAAAGAAATAGGTGAAACATCCATGCTCCTTTTACAAATGCGTTCTCCGGGTACTAGTTTTCCCTCTACTCTTAGACCACCAAAAAAACGACGTGAAAAGGTGTAGGGCGGAAAGGGCAGCACACTTAGGCATCCTGGTAAAGTCTTGACACCACCATTAACTGGTTGTGTCGTGAGAGTAAGTTGACTTTTCTCAACTCTCAGAGGGGTATATCCGTCACCTCTGCTTCACAGGACTGGCATGAAAACCAAAAGATGCAGAAGCACTCTGGGAACCACAAAGTGCTAGCAAACCAGTATGGTTATTATTTTTTTTTTTTTGAGTTGGAGTCTCACTGTCGCCCAGACTGGAGTGCAGCAGCCGCTCCCAGCCACCGCAGCCTCGACTGCAGGGCTCCGGCGATCCTTCCGCCTCAGCCTTCCGAGTAGCCGGAATTACAGGCATGCGCTCCCACACCCGGCTGATTTTTTTATTTATTGTAGAGATGAGGTCTCGCTGCCCAGGCGGGTCTCGAACCCGCGGGCTCAGGCAATCCACTCACCTCAGCCTCCCAAAGGCATGGGATTACAGGCTGAGCCACCGAGTCTAGCTAGTATGGCTATTTTTAAAAATCTTTTTTTGTTGTTAGCACCAGGCACTACCGTGGATTTCAACAATCTTGATGAACAAACACTGTGCTGTTTTCTACAAGGTAACCACTAGCTCCATGTGGCTGGGTTGATGAGCACTCGGAATATGGGTCGTGCAGCTGAAGAAATAAACATTGAACGCTATGTACTCTTAGTTAAATGTTACGTTTAAAAACTGAAGCAGCATAAAATATTCTGCTACACACAACTTTATTGTTTAGGACTACATTTTGGCCCAGTGTGGCAGCTCACTCCTGTAATCCCACCAGGAGTTTGGGCGACCAAGGCGGGAAGATTACTTGAGACCAGGCACTGGACAGAAGCCTGGCAACACAGTGAGAGGCCATCGCTATTTTAAAAACCAAAAACTAAACTAAAAACTCCCATGCTAATCAGTAGTGGGGTCACTCTTGTGAACAGCCACCGTACCTCAGCCTGAGCAACATGGTGAGACCCCAACTCTTAAAGATAACAAAATAAAATAAGGAAACTGGGACTACATTTTAACTGTTGCATCACGAAGTCATTGCTGTTGTAGTCAGTGTGCGCTGAGAACATGCATGATTTCTAGCGTTACACTCAAACACATCGCCAGTCTAGTCAGCGTCATTGGACTGATTCAGCTCAAATGCTTTGTTTAGTCCTACACATGAGCATAACACAGTGATGTGTTTATTTTAAGCATATGCACATAGTCTGATGATGAAAAACACTTTGGACAATGCTGCTCTTAAGAACTAGACGGCAAGCAGAGGGGCTTCTTCCTCTGCAGGAGGCCCCGTCCCATCTTCTTCCTGCAGTCCTGCTGCTTTCGCCCTCAGGTGCTTCTCCTGGGCTTCCTGTTTGGCCACGAGGCCTCCAAATCCCAGTCTGTCCCCACTCCTGGTCTCCTCCATGGCATTCATCTTCCTTACTAACGTAATACTTGCCCCCCTTCCTTTTATAGTCCTACTTTATTTATTTATTTATTTAGCGCCAGGGTCTTACTCTGTTGCCCAGGCTGGAGTGCAGTGGCACAATCAAGGCTCGCCACAGCCCCAAACTCCTGGGCTCAAGCAATCCTCCTGCCTCGATCGCTCAAGTAGATGGCACTGCAGGCACACGTCACCATACCCAGCTAATTTTTGTAGAGATGAGGTCTATTGTCAAGGCTGGCCTCAAACTCCTGGGCTCAGGCCATTCTCTCTCCTTGGCCTCCCAAAGTGCTGGGATTTCAGGCATGAGCCACTGCACCCGGTCAGTGTAATCCATGACTGGATGATAACTTTAAATCCTGGAATACAGGATGATTCGTACCTTTGTGCGTGAATTTTCCTAATTTTAGATTCATAGTAATCAATTAGGCAAAGCAACCTAGGAAAGAGAATATTAGATTATTTTCAAAATGCGGCATTAGAGCATCTACTAGTCTTTCTACATAATTTCAAATTACAGTGATAAAAGTAAGTACAGATTAAATGGAAGGTTTAGAAATCAAGCGATTCTCGCCAGAAGCAATTATTATACCCAATCATATAAGTCATAGTCATTTCAAGGATAAATTTTAAAAACAGCTATAAACATTCTATCTCCACGTTAAATTCATATTTTCCTTGTCCAACATTTCCACCTGTAGCAATATCTCCCACAGAAATATTTGTCAAGGGATGTAATACAATAGGAACAAAGTTGTTCACTGCACTACTAGTTATCAGAGTGAAAAGTGAGAAATAACTGTCCTTAATAGTGGAAAGGTTATATAAAAATGGCCCATCCAAATATAGAAAACAGTGGAGCATTAGAAGAAATAATACAAATCTGTATGTCCTGATATGGACTCATAAAAGGGGAAACGTGGTAAAAACCAAGTGTATAGTATTACTCCACTTTGCCTAAAGAGAAAAATAGCTGTGTGTGAGTATGTATGTGTACTGAAAAAGAACTCCATGGGTTCTTTGCCAGGAAATAAAATTGTAACCTAGGGGGAGGGTGGAGGGGCAGTGCTGTTGTTACACTATTTGGGAAGGGTCCGAATGCTGTATATTCACCAATGAGCATGACAACACCATACAACGAAGAAGGTGCCCCCCAAAATGCCAACAGCACTCCTGCTGAGAAATGGCAGCAAGGACATGCACCAAACTGTTGAGAGAGATTTATCTCTGGGACTCGGGAGTTATGAGGGCAAGCAGGTCTGTCACATTTTGCTATACATATGTATTTTTATATTATTTGAATTTTGATAAGCATGTACTACTTCTGTAATTAAAAACATCACAGAGGAAGACAAAGTAGCAGCATAGTTTTATGTGTTATTCTTTTTTTTTTTTGAGTCAGAGTCTCAC